ACCAGTGCTGCAATGTGAGCACCCCTGGTCAGGTCCTCTTTTATGATAACACCCAGAAACTTAAAACTGGCCACTTGCTCCACTCGGCCTCCATTGGTAAGCAAGGGCTGGATGTCTGATCTATTCCTTCTATAGTCCACTATAAGCTTCCTGGTCTTATTGGTGTTAAGGATCAAATTATTGTCTCCACACCACCACAAAAGCAACCGATCCCCCTCATCTCGATAGATGAGCTTGATGAGCTTCCACAGAATATGCCAGTCGTGCAACGTCTTATTGGGAGGGGCTACAATTATATATATTTTTCCTCAAAAATCCAACATGTGCAAGCCTGAGGTGTCCTTCCCGAATTCCCAAAATATTCCCTGCGTGGGTATGGATTGCACAAGCTTAAAGCATTCCACAACTTTCCTCAGCCAGCTTGAGGGGCTTTGTAATTGTTTTTGCCGACCTATAAATTTTTGAGTAACAACAAAATTATTGTGATTTTTCTTACTAAATTATTCATCTATTACAAAGCATGTATGTAACAAGGGCCATGAATCAAAAGGCATATAATGACTCTATCTTGGAGTCATTTCTTCAAAGAAAAACTCAAATAGATTTATGTATACAAGTTAACTAAGAGACCATGATTTTAATAGTGTTCATAATTCTACCTGCTCCTTTCCGAGCTTCATACATTTTTTTCTTTTTTTTTTAGTGCTACAGTTTTTAAATGAATTTTAAAATTCAGAACTTTCCTTTGGGGAAACAATTGCTTTCCATCACATTTAGCAGTTGGGTCTAATTGGTACTATAGCAATCACTGAAATAACAACTTTGTCATGAGGTAACCCAGAGCTCATAAACTGGGCTTAAAAGGATGCAAACATCTCTAAGAGAAGTCCTGGCTAAGTGTCTTGTATCTTTGAAATAAAAGCAAGATGTTGCCATTGTACATCATTGATGTTTTTATTTAGTTGTCCCATACAGACGACAGAAACTTCTCAGGTGAGCCTAGAATTCAAAGGCCACATGCCTCAGTTCCTCAAGAGATATGTAATGGGACTTGGCAGGATGGTGGCTTATTCTTTTCATAAATAAAGCACTGTTATTTACGTTTATATTATAAAACATTATTGTAAACAAAACAGTGAAATGCCCTTTATCCAGGATAATATTTTTGCATTTAATACAAACCTTCGTATACCAGTCTTTCACAGAACGCCAGCCAATTCACAGAAATGACAACATACAAATTTTCATTTAGGTTATTGGTGTGAGCCAGATTATATTTCATTATCTGCAGTATCTTCAGTCTTATTTTTCGTGGAAATAAAACCTTACAATATTAGATTTCCAAATATTTCGGACATGTTTTCATCATTCATGAATTAGTTTTGTTGAGATTTCTTCTCAAGACACAAAATGCCAAAATACTACTTTAAAAGGCCCCTATGAAATCAAGAAAGAAATCAGTAAGATTTATTTCCTTACTACTAAGTCTGAAACAGGCATGTGGTTCATTTTACTACAGTATTCTATGTCTTGACTTCTTTCGGCTCTCAAGCTTCAAAAGCTGAAGAAAACGAGGAGATTGCAGGTCAGTCTAGATGACAGAGCTCCGTGTTGTTTTTGTCAAAGCCATCGGTTCCCTCCAGATGTTGCAACTCCCCAAATTGTCAGGCGAAGACTCACCGTTTGGCCAGGACTTGGGAGCTGTAGTCCCCACACATCTGGGGAAGCTACGTGGGGAAAGCCAGAGGTTTCCGTCCAAGGGCTTATTCTATGTTTTCTGCATTTCTAACTTAAAATGTCCTGGTTGAAGTTTAGTCCTAGAATTAAAGGAAATGCCCAAGAGGGCCCTCCAATCGATCTTTACGCAAACATCAATGTTTGAGACTATTACATATTGGCATTTGTAAGTATTAATGCAAGCCTGACATTTCCATTAACACGTATACACAAAACATCCAACAAACTTCAGCTTTTTGGATTAGTAAACAACACTCCACGGACGAGGCTTCTGTTAATAATGTTTCTTATTGTTGGAAAATCTCTAGTGGACAAATTTGTCAAACATACAAAAGGTCTAAAAGTGAAATATAGTAATTAAGACTCTCACTTTATTGATTGGGGAGCTTAAGTAATTTTTCATTACTAACATAAGATTTAATACATAAAAGTAGTTAAAGATTCTGCCTTGGCACTAGCCATTAGCATGTAATTGAACTAGTAAAAAAGATCAGTTTAACCTATGTTGATTACCACCTTACCTTTGAAAGGCAATTAAGGATCTCAATCATGGCAACAAGATTTGATTGTGTGGCCTTTATTGGACATCGATCTTTTAGCAAAGCGGTTACATTTTCCATTAATTTACAGTAGCAGTTTAACTCTGGTACCTTAGACCATTGACCCAGATAAGATGTCAGGCTAAGTACTCGTTTAGTTTAAGGTGCTCCCACCACTCATTCCTCTTTAAAAGGGACACCGAAACAAGCCCGATATCTATTAAGCAGACTTAGGCGAAGGTTTCAGTTACTGGCATGTGTTTCATCAGGCTGAATTCCCTGATGTTCATCATCTCCCTCTCCTTTGCTTTTTTAAGCACTGCCCTTCTACCAAAGGAAAGAGATAATTAAAGCAGGAGAGAAACATCCAAACACAAAGCGGAGCAACTATTGTGTTTCAAAGGATCGCATTTCCTCGAAGGTCATGTATTCCGGGCATCTTAAATGCATTTTGAAGAGGTATTGAAAATACCTGCCCAGCCGTTTTATTGCCAATGACACTGGAGGGCCAGGAAATGGGGGGGGGGGAGGTTTGAACAGATAAAAAAACACCAGAAATAATTGGCCATGTAGGATGGGGTGGTGGTGGTAGAGGACTGAAAGCTAAGAGTAAGGACATAACCAAGAATGGAGTGGGGAGGAGATAGGAAAAAAACCCACCACTTATCAGGACATGAAACCAAAAGAGCATGTTCAAGGGATGTTCGCTTGGGTACAAGAGCTTATTTTATACTACAGTAGATGTGCAACCTTTTCCATTTTCCTCTCTCCTGCAAGTAACATGCTGCAAAGGTCAGATTTGTGCGTGTGAAGGCAGGACGAAGCAGCTTCACATTTGAGATTCATGCAAAACCACCACAGAAGACATATGTGAATTATTTTAGATCATCTTGAGTTCACGCACTGTAGCAAGCCATCAAATGATCCACTTGGCTTAACATGCTATAGGAACTCCATCTCAGGTGTTTGTTAATCACAGGGGACAGATCAGAATTGGGAGAACCCAGCCAATTTGGGTCATTAAACAGATCACAGGTAAAACAAGACTAGCTTCGTGTAATGTGGAGACCTGTTTGTTTTCTCCTTAGAATTACCTTTTTTTTTTTTATTATTCAGGGCCCAAATTTTACACTCACTCCATTTTTATCCTTTTAAACAGGAATGCAAGAATAGAATTTTTAAGACAGAGCGTGCTTATATAATTCTTAAAAAGTTGACATAGGCACAAGCCATAGTAGACACTGAAAGTTGACACAGTGCTAAACCTAAATGTTGGAGTAATTCGATTTACCTCAATTAGCAAATCTGCCGGTTCTTGACTTAAGTGCAAACAGGAAATCCAATCTTTTGTTTTCCAAACAAGTCAGGAATTGGATGATAAGAACCAGTCAGGTTTCTGACTATGGGTTGTGGTTTCTATGCCACAACAAATAGGTCAGAGAAGAAACTTGAGTGGCAAGTGCCAACTCCAAGGATTGGAGTCCACGTAAGAACATTCCTAACATCCTCACAGCTTCTGCTTGAAACCTCCAGTGTGGGAAAACTTATGGTCTTCATCACTAATTAGCTCCTATCTTTTGGAATTGTCCCAAATATCTACCTGGAATTGGCTTCTCTCTCATTGAAAACCATTATTTCAGGTCCTCCATGCTCAACAAAGAACAGCCCTGAGGCCTTCATGTACTCAATCACAGCTAGCATGTTGTCTCTTCCTGTGGATTACACCTGTCCCACCAGGTCAGAGGTCTTCAAACTTGGCAGCTTTAAGACTTGTGGACTTCAGCTCCCAGAATTCTCCACCATAGTTGGCTGGCTGGAGAGTTCTGGGAGTTGAAGTCCACAAGTCTTAAAGCTGCCAAGTTTGAAGACCCCTGCACTAGGTCCTGCAGGAGAGGGTGCTCCAGAACTCGTCTCTTAGGGACCATCAGCTGGTGGAAGCCAAGAGGAGACCCTGTTTTGCTGTGGCATCTGCCCTTTGGATGATCAGATGGGCCCTGACTTTGTTGGGTTTTTTTGCAAAGACTTCAAGACTTCATCGGGCCTGGAGATCTGGATATGTAGCAGAGCTAATGCAATCACTGTGTTAAATTTGTGGGCTTTCTACCCCAGTTGTTGATTTATTTGTGCATTTTTAAAATACTGTTTATTAGTTTTGATAATCGTGAATTTCAGATGGGCAATCACATAAACTGAAATAATACCTGCCTAGGAAAATAGTACCAAGAGTTTTTTTGATGATACCTACCCAAATTCGTTCCCAATAGAATTAATCTATCCCATCATCTACAGTGGGACGCCTCACATCAACTGAACAACACACCTTCTGTTTAAATACAACAAGTAGTCACACAAACAGCCCCTAATGATAACTATTATTGCCTCTGAACTCTGCCCTCAGTCTTCTTCCAAGTTCAACCTTCCCACCATGATCAACCCTTGAAGTACTGGAGATCCATTGATTTTCATGTAATAAAAAGAAAATTTCTTTCTACATTTGCCTAATTGTTGCACCATGAGAGCCCTGAGCAAGACTCTGCTTGCTATTAATGTTGCAAACACTATCAAATTCTAGGGAATCAATAGAGTAGTTTGTCAAGGAGATTCTCCAAGGAGGGATGCCCAGCGCTACATAGACAAGGAGCTGCGTTCCCTCCACTTATCGAAAAACAGGTAAGCAAAGTCAGCACTCTCCATTATCAGAAATCAAATAAGCTGCAGCTAGTGAACAGGCCACTCCAAGGGGAAGCTTTATTTATTGCGTGGTAATTAAAAAACATTTTATCAGTCTTGTGTTGAGACCAAACCTTTAAAGAAGAGTATTGACAGAATCGGGAGCAATGAACGAGCAGTATTTGACTTTAACTTATGAGCTGCACTTATTTAATTCTGCCCATTACTGGGAACATAAGTTCCAGCCAATCTAGCAAAATGCTAATAGTCACTTTTATTATTAATGAAGCTTAATGTAACACACCAGCTACTCCTCTGGGCGAACTATTTATTTAACTTGTATTAGGAATATCCTTTGGTATCAAATATACTGGAGTGTTTCCTTGATTACAGATTTAGAGCTGCAGTTAAAACAAAACAAATGTACTACTTGTCTTCTGAATGAAAGCAATTCAAAATTCAATTCTGATGGATTTTAAGAAATATACTTACACAAAATCTAACAAGAGCCTTTTGAAAAATGACTTATATTTTGTCTTACAGCAAACATCCCAGATGAAAATAGCTTGCTGAAATAATTTAAAATGAACAAATGTTATGCATGCTTTTAGATCTGTTTTCATAACTACATTATTTCTGCAACACTTTATCAGGTCAACACTTTGGAAGTCAAACTAGAGTGACTGAGTGAATATAATTTTCTACATTAAGCATATGACAAAGTCATATTGTGTGTTAATTACTTCTAAATCATGTTGAGTTAAATAATAAAGCATATTTAACTATCTTCCATTGAAAGCAATAGGATTGAACAGGTACTTAATTTCGGCCAGATCACAATCACTCTAGCTGCCTGCAGGTACAAGACCAATCTCCACATTCAACCCTCTGAAATTTCAGGCATTTTTTTTTCTTTAAAACTCTGGATTTTAATACAAACAACTTCTATTTATCAGAGAGGACTGAACCTGTTTTGAATATCAGTTATATCTTTTAAAAAATTCATTAAGAAGAAACATATTGCTTTTAAATTGTACTTAAGAATTGGATAATGAGGTAAGATCGCAAAAAATCAAAATTAATTAAGAGGTGAAAGTCAGCTTTGGATAAAAGTAGTTAATTCAAATAATTTCCCAGAGTTTTGTTTGGTTTTGCATCTGTGCATAATTCAACATGTATTTGATGTTTTACAGAATCAAAGAAAAGTAATATGTTTCAACAATAGGGACATGCCTTGAAAAAATACATATACTGTTTGCATAAGAATGTTGACACAGCAAAAAGTTGAGAAAATAATTCTTTTCTATATTAATTCAGCACACTAACAGTTTTTGAAACCACGTTTTAGTACATGGCACCTTCGTCTTCTTTATTCAGGAAGTAAATAGTGACCGGACCACAGCATGTCTGAACAGTCTCGGTGACGCTGGCAAAGCACCAAGAGCTAATTCCATATAACAACGTTGGGATTCCTAGTGCAAAAAGAAACAGGTTAGGAGTCGCACGACTCTCACTATTCAGAACAGCTTTACTAATAAACTCAGGATACAGCAAGAAAATAAAATAAGCATAAACACCAGCAATTTTAGGCTAAACTGTTAAGCATTGAACAAGTTTTTTTGGAAAGAAAAAGATCTCTGTCGTGAAAAGGTGGTCCGAGTGACTGCTAGGAATGGATCTGGGGGTCCATCGTTGAGCATCACCTTGCAAAAAAAAAAAAAAAAAAGAATACAGGTACTCCTTGATTTACAACAGTTTATTTAGTGACCGTTCAAAGTTAAACCGGCACTGAAAAATTGGACTTATGACCATTTTTCAGAATTATGACCTTTGAAGCATCCCCATGCTCATGTGATCAAAATTCAGATGTTTGGCAATTGTTTCATATTTATGACGGTTGCAGTGTCCCCAGGTCACGCCATCTCCTTTTGCGACCTTCTGACAAGCCAAGTGAATGGAGAAGCCAGATTCACTTAACAGCTGAGTGACTAACTCACCAACTGCAGTGATTCACTTAACAACTGGGGCAAGAAAGGTCATAAAATGGAGCAAAACTCTCTTTTAACGAATTTCTCACTTAACAGAAATGTTGTGGTTGTAAGTCAAGGACTACCTGTACATGAAGTCACTAAGCAGCTGGCCAGAGCCAGTGGGATCCAAGTGTCTTGGGGGGAAATGAGGTTTCCAGAACATTTTGAACTGGAGAGCTTTCTTGGAAAAAAGGGTACAGAATGCAACTGGAAAATGAAGGGGAGGGGGAAATGTTTCTCCCTCCTTTCCTTAATTGGTTTATTTTTAATTGACAGCCACACAGAGTCACTGGGAGCCATGCAAGTTTGCAGGTCAACACAGACCTGGCTCGCGGTGAACAAAACAAAGTGAAAATCAATGAAAGTGAACCCCTAGCAGCAGCAGAAATAATAATAGAATAGAATAACAGAGTTGGAAGGGACCATGGAGGTCTTCTAGTCCAACCCCTTGCTTAGGCAGGAAACCCTACACCACTTCAGACAAATGGTTATCCAATCTCTTCTTTAAAATTTCCAGTGTTGGAGCATTAACAACTTCTGGAGGCAAGTTATTCCATTGATTAATTGTTCTGTCAGAAAATTTCTCCTTAATTCTAGGTTGGTTCTTTCCTTGATTAGTTTCCACCCATTGCTTCTTGTCCTGCCTTCGGGTGTTTGGAAAACAGGTTGCCCCCTTCTTCTTTGGGGCAGCCCCTGATATATCGGAAGACTGCTATCATGTCTCCACTAGTCCTTTTCATTAAACTAGACATGCCCAGTTCCTGCAACCGTTCTTCTTAGGTTTTAGCCGTGTCTCCTAATCATCTCGGTTGCTCTTCTCTGCACTCTTTCTAGTCTCAACGTTTTTTTTTTACATCGTGGCAACCAAAACTGGATGCCGTATTCCACGTGTGGCATTATAAGTGGTATTATAAAGTAGTGGTAATATAATCAAGGCCTTATTGATGAATGTATCTTCTCTTATGTATACTGAGAGCTTATGCACCAAAGACTAACTCCTTGTGTGTCCAATGACACTTGGCCAATAAAAAATTCTATTCTATTCTAATTCTATTCACCTGTTCTGTATTCTAATTCTAATCTATTCCTTTCCATATTCTATTCCTATTCTATTCTATTCACCTGCCTGTATTCTAATTCTAACTCTAATTCTATTCTATTTCTTTCCATATTCTATTCTACTCTATTCTATTCCCTGTTCTGTATTCATATTCTAATTCTATTCCTTTCCATATTCTATATTTCTATTCTATTCTATTTACCTGTTCTGTATTCTAATTCTATTCTATTCCTTTCCATATTCTATTTCTATTCTATTCACCTGTTCTGCATTCTAATTCTATTCTATTTCTTTCTATATTCTATTCTATTCTACTCTATTCTATTCACCTGCTCTGTATTCTAATTCTATTCTATTCCTTTCCATATTCTATTTCTATTCTATTCACCTGTTCTGTATTCTAATTCTAATTCTATTCTATTTCTTTCCATATTCTATTTTATTCTACTCTATTCTATTCACCTGTTCTGTATTCTAATTCTAACTCTATTCTATTCCTTTCCATATTCTATTTCTATTCTATTCTATTCACCTGCTCTGTATTCTAATTCTATTCCTTTCCATATTCTATTTCTATTCTATTCTATTCACCTGCTCTGTATTCTAATTCTATTCTATTCCTTTCCATATTCTATTTCTATTCTATTCACCTGTTCTGTATTCTAATTCTAATTCTAATCTATTTCTTTCCATATTCTATTTCTATTCTATTCTATTCACCTGCTCTGTATTCTAATTCTAATTCTATTCTATTTCTTTCCATATTCTATTTCTATTCTATTCAACTGTTCTGTATTCTAATTCTAATTCTATTCTATTTCTTTCCATATTCTATTTTATTCTACTCTATTCTATTCACCTGTTCTGTATTCTAATTCTATTCCTTTCCATATTCTATTTCTATTCTATTCACCTGTTCTGTATTCTAATTCTAATTCTATTCTATTTCTTTCTATATTCTATTTTATTCTACTCTATTCTATTCACCTGTTCTGTATTCTAATTCTAACTCTATTCTATTTCTTTCCATATTCTATTTCTATTCCATTCACCTGTTCTGTATTCTAATTCTAATTCTATTCTATTTCTTTCTATATTCTATTCTACTCTATTCTATTCTATTCACCTGCTCTGTATTTTAATTCTAACTCTAATTCTATTCTATTTCTTTCCATATTCTATTCTATTCTATAGCGGTATCAACCCTTCAGCTGATCTTGATTCTATCCCTGATGCCAGCAAAAGACCTCCAGGCCGGCCAGCCAGCCAGCCTCTTCCCCATCGTGAGGTTCCTTTCCTGGCCATCGGAAAGCCGGGGGTTTAGGCGGCGCAAGCGGGCCCTTCTTGAAAGGGGGGGGGGGGGAGTCGGAGCCTTTGCAAGAGGGCGCCCGCGGGCCCCGCGCTCACCCAGGTTGAGCATCTTGAGGGCGGCCAGCAGGGCGTCCTGGGCGTGGAGGTCGCGGCGGGGCCCGCGGGAGCAGTGATACTTGACGAAGGGGAAGCAGCCGGTGCGCAGCACGTGGTAGTTGGCGCCGCGCACCGCCCAGTTGAAGCTGGAGAGGCCGAACTGGTCGTTGCGCACCGCGCTGTACTTGACGCAGAAGGAGGTCCAGGGGGGCAGCCGCCGCTGCAGCAGGTGGAGGGTCAGCACCTCCGAGGCGGCCGGCTGCGGAGGAGCCCCCCACGGCCACAGCACGGCCCGCAGCAGCCCCGCGTGCAGCCGCCCCGCCGCCCGCCTCACGCGACCCATGCGCAGCTCCCCTCCCCCACCCCACCCCACCCCACGACCGCCACCGCGCCTGCGCCTTCGCCGCACGCCAACCCTGCGTGCGCGCCCCCGCCCGGCGACGTCGCCGTGAGGTGGGAGGCGCCTGCCGCCGCTTGCCCCCCTTTTTTTAAGCCTGGCGGACTTCAACTCCCAGAATTCCCCGCCCGCCATTGAAGGGCGCTGAGGCGATTTGTTGAGGGATAAGGACTTAAGACTTAAGTCGGTGTTTCTCAACCTCAGCAGCTTTTAAGATGTGTGGGCTTCAACTCCCAGAATTCCCCAGCCGGCATTCTGTTATTTTAGACAAATCTTGGTGTTTAAAAAACAAAACAAAACACAGTTATGACCTGATTTAACACTGGATCCAGCCACATTAGAACACTCAGCAGAACGTTGTTAAAGAAATAATGACGTTTCTAGGAAGCTAGGTGACATATAGGCATCATACATGGTAATAATCTAAGCCCTCAAAGCTGGCTGGGGAATTCTGGGAGTTGAAGTCCGCCAAGCTTAACATGGCCAAGGTTGGAGACCCCTGTATTAGAGCCCAAACACGTACCCGCATTTTTGGGGGGGACTTCCCAGAGAGGGACACAAAGTGCGAACAGTTCCCCACCCCCCACCCCCGTTAATTATGCGCCATCCTTCAACCTGGGCAATCTTCGGAGAGCGAGATTGCGCTAATGAATCAAATTCCTGCGCAATAAGAAGGCAGCGCATGGCTTCTGTCCCGCAATGCACTGGCAGTCCCCCCCCCAGCCTCCCGCATGAATCCTAGCAACAGATTTGGGTTCAGCTTTCCCTTTTCATAATAAATAGATAATAAATAGTGGCTTGGTGGGCTGTGAGGGGGTGCTGAAGGGTGGGTGGGATAGCGGGGACCCTTTCGGTGTTGTGGGGCAGTGGTGGGTTGCCCCCGGTTAGGACCGGTTCTGTAGAACCGGTAGTAAAACCGGTGGGAGGCTCCGCCCACTGGCCCTGATGTCATCAGAAGCAATCTGCACATACGCGGAAGCAAGGTGAGCGATCCCATTGCGAACCGGTAGTAAAGGTAAGTAGAACCCACCCCTGGTGGGGTGAGTAGGCATCTGGCTGTCCTTGGCCAGCCCACGGCCTGGCCTGGGATAAGCCCGGGAGCTCTTGTAGGATGGGCACAAGAAGAGGGACTGACTCAATTGGGGAGAGATGCTGAGTCTCCCTTTTGGGGTGAGAACTGCTGCCAGAAGGACTAAGTCAGGCTTGCATTAGGGTGGAATCTTCCTTGATATTGCCCGGATCTGTGTGGATTTGACTCCGTGTTACAAATCAGCAATCGGTTTAAGGCAGGGGTATCAAACTCGATTTCATTGAGGGCCGCATCAGGGTTGTGTTTGACTTCGGGGTGGGGGGCATGGCCAGCTCAAAGTCAGTCGTGTCGGGGGCACCTGTGGTGGCCTAAGCACTCCCAAGCCCCGTTTTCAGCTGTGACGGCCTCCTGCAACCCTCTGCCAGTGAAAACGGAGCTCAGGAGAGCTGCACGCGGCCCTCCTGAGCTCCATTATCACTGGCAGAGGCACTGTGGGCCAGTCCTTTGCTTTTTTCAGGGTGGCCCAATGGACCAGATCTAACCACTCCGCGGGCTGGATCCAGCCCTCTGGGCCTTGAGTTTGACACCCCTGGTTTAAGGCCATGTTTTTCAAACTTCAAGGTACGTGGAATTCAACTCCCAGAATTCCCCAGCTGGCCAAGACTGAAAAATACTGATTGGAGAACAAGAAACAAGGCAAATTGTACTAACAATGGGAAAGATCTATTCTTTTTTTAAAAAGTGTAATTTAGAATAGGCAGTAACTTCAGCAGATTTGCTGATAACACCCATGAATTTAGAATGGGAATCTCAAAAACAGACTATGCTGTATTCACACAGCACCTTTAGCCCGATTACTGAATAAAGCCATTGACTGAGCTTGCACAATTCCTTAGATCATAAATACCAAAGCATCAGGGCTCACAAAACACATGAGATCTTTAAACAAAACTAGCCAAGTTTAGTATATTGTGCAGGCACTAATTTAATTAATTTAGTTAAGCATGTTGTCTGAACTCAGTCACTGTGAGGAACAGGTTTCTTCAAATTTCAATAATGGGTTTTAAATCTTGTTCAGCATAATTACTTCCAAGCAAATGTGCTTACATTTTTTTTTGAGTAACAGAACAACTCTCAGAAATTTGTGAAGTGTGAAACTATTCGTAATGTAATCTGGTATCGAATATAAAGTCCACTCGTGACTGTTCCTATAATTCCCTTCAGTTCTTACGGATTATTGGCACTGAAAATGGACTGGGATATGACTCCTTGAACCCAATGGATCTTCTGAGTAGATCATCCAATAAAACACACGAAAATGCCTCCTTCTTTTCCATGCAACAGTTGCATTTTAGGCACATTCCTTTAAGGAAAAATAAATTTAAAATTCTTAGAAATTAGAAGAGTCTTCTCACTTCCGACATTGGGAAATCATTTTTTCCAATATAAACACATTGCATTTTATTGGAGGAATAAATACTCACATAAAGCACACAAGAGGAAATTTAATCTAATATTAACAGTTTTTAAAACCTTGGTCACTACTAAGACCTACTTAGCTTCCCTAAATGTGGTTTTCAGAAATCCAAAAAACAGTTTCAGATTTACAACTGTAAAAGGGGAAGGCTTCAAAAGACGAAGAGTTTGAAGATGCCTGGCAAGAATCTCAAGGTGTGAAGAGTGTATTTTAATCTGTTGAAAGACAAAAAAAATAATGAATCAACATTCAAGTATTTTTTCTTCCAAAACAATTACTTTCAATAATTGGTTTACTTTGCCCTAAAAGAGAGCAGGTGTAAATTTCATATTTAGGTTTCTTTGCAAGATCCAATCCGGGTCAGTTACCCGGACCGGAGGTTGAGTCTTCTGAGCTTTCCAACTGGTGCTGGGGCCCATCCGCAGGGAACTTCTCTCCACCAGAATGTGTGCTTTGGGCTGCTATTCTGTGCGTCGTATTCATGTGGTGTCTGGTGAAGCCACACCCAATCAGACACCGCATAAATATGAGGCATAGTGTAGCCCATAGCACACACTCTGCTAGACAGAAGTTCCCTGAAGATGGGCTCCAGCATGAATCCTAAAGCTTGGAAGACTAAACCTCCGGTCCCAGTGACCGACCCTGATTCAATCTTGCAATATTGTCTTGGGACACGTATAGTTGCCTTTATTTGTGAGGTTTCTTTGTATATGTATTAATTTATATAAATTGCTTGGAATGATGTTTATATTACCCTATATTAAGTTTTTGGCATACAACCGAGAGGATGTTATGGAGTGAGGGAACTGACCAATTGCATCCTATTACACATTTTTTCTCTTCCAAGGGGCATGCACGGTGATGACCAACTAAGTATGATTTTTAAAGCTTTAGGCTCAAGCTATCCTAAGGAAAAATGAATGTTTTTTTTTTTGGTCTGGCCGACTGGTCACCTATTCAAGCAAAGTGCATGAAGTGTGATTTGGGAAAAGAAAAATGCAAAAGGATTATTGGAAGACGTTATGAATAGAGATGGAAGGTTTACTTACTATTTTTTGGATGTTTTTGCTTTTGAGGCCTCCTTTTTCTCTTCAAATTTTAACTTGTTCTGCTCCGTAACCCCCAAGATCCTCTCAATGTCTTGAATGGCTCCCTAGAAAGAGGTGGAAATGCTGCAGATTAGCCCCACAGATTTCCGCATCCATTCCTCTCACTCATGTCTGGGCTTCTGGACTGACCATAATGGGCATTCACCTAAGGCTGTGTTGATGGAAGTTGCTAAGTTAAAGCCAAGGAAACTGCATCACATTTTGCCCCATCCCTGGTGGTGCACATGGTTTTAATCCTGATGAGCAGGGCTCTCCAAACTTGGCAACTTTAAGACTTGTGGACTTCAATTCCCAGGTGGCTGGGGAATTCTGGGAGCTGAATTCCACAAGTCTTAGAGTTGCCAAGTTTGGAGAGCCCTGCTCATGATTTATGGTGTCATCCAAAGCTGAAGCTACCATCATCTGAAGGTTACAGCCGGGACTCGTAACCAATGGCAAAGTTTGGGTAGAAGTCTTGGTTCCTAGAAACCCAAAATGGTGGCTTCAACATTTCCCAGGATCTTTGCAAAAATTTAATAGGTTGCCTGAAGGGGCAAATAGCATCTTCTGATTTTTGGACTTGTTTCCATTCAGGAAAATTAGGCTTCAACTTTCAGAATCCTACAACCTGCCCAAAGAACTAAGTATATGCAAGAATGAGATCACCCGATGTCAACCGGGTGTGTGTGTGGTGTCATAGACGCCATTATGGGGATCACATTCATATAATCAAGAGATGCTCTTTACTTTTTGACATCCTTTGTAGACACTTGTGTGTGGGGTGCCTTCCCTGGGGTTGAGATGGACCACTGCTTTCCAGTTCATCACTCAGAATTGCTGCTGTGTATTTCCAGTGCCATCTTTTGCACCTTTGGAGTAGGAACCAAACCATCACTGTGCAGTAGCACACAAAATACAATTCTTAACAATGACGGTGGGCATTACAGGTTGGAACTACAATTGATGGGTTGCAGGAACTGGGTGTGTCTAGTCTAACAAAGAGAAGAACTACGGCTGATATGATAGTCTTTCAATATTTGAGGGGCTGTCACGGTTGATCTATTCTCCAAAGCACCTGAAAGCAGGACAAGACATACTTGGTGAAAGATTACTAAAGAGAGAGATCCAGCCTAGAATTAAGGAGAAGTTTCCTGACCGGGAGAACAATTAATTGGTGGAATGGCTGGCCTCAGGAGCTGTGGGGGCTCCAACATTGGAGCTCCAAGCGATCGGAGAACCATTTGTCTGACATGCTATACTGTCTCCTGCTTGAGCAGGGAGTTGGACTCGAAGGCCTCCAAGGTCCCTGCCAACCCTATTATTCCATGTTCTATGTTGGCTGGAGCTGAGCTACAAGTGAGTGGCCATTCACAAAACACCAGCACTCCAGAGGTGCCTTCAACAGTAGCGCCCCCCCCCCCCCCCGAGGCTCCCTAAGTAAGTCCCTGCTTTGACAGCCATCATATTGGGCTCTTGGTATACAAGTGCAAGCCCTAGGTTTACCCTTCCATCACCCTTCCATAGCTATTGGAACATAAACAGCCTATTTGTTTGCCTCCTCCTAATGGATGTGCTTTAATATTTCAAACATCTCAACCGTTTCATTTGACGAATCAATAGGAGAAGTCTTTGGGGAGAAGAGCATTTTTTGCCTCTCCAATTAGTAAATCCAAGAGTGGATGTATGCAAAATGAAAATCTAATTTCCTCGGGAGCTAGCCATTCATGCTAGAGAGGGTTGTGTTGTGTTGTGTGTGTATGTGTGTGTGTGTTTTAAACAAATATACCAATCGCTCTCAGCCCAAGCAAATCCATGCTCCCGTACCAAAACCCTTAAATTTAACTAACAGATTCGCCGGGAATCTCACAATATTGACCCGCAAGCTGTGAAATACGTACTGCTACGAGCAGAAGCGAGGATGGTTTAGCACTTGTTTATAATACAGCATGAGGTGTTTTCTGTCCTTGAACAGAAATTTAACGGGGATCGTTAGTTAATTAACACCTCACCTTAAAATTGGTCTCGGCATGCATATTAGGTGCTGATAATTCTTGATAGATGATGAAGAGATGCTGAGCAAAGGTCATGAGGACCCCCTGGAGATGTTCTCCAATTGTTCTGTTAATGATATCCAAAGAAACGTCTTTGCCAATGATTCTATTCGCACGCTTAAAAACAATCGCCCTCTCATTTGGGCCTGTCAGACGGAGGGATTTAATGAATATTTTCAATCTCCGAAGGTGGCAATCTTCAGGGAGATACAAAAGATGAGGCTCCATTTTAACTTGTCAGTAAAAAGGATTTGTGTAATAAATATTTTTTATTAATCAAGTAATGGAGGAGGGCAAAAGCTTGAGTCATTTGAAACACGGGAGTCCTATCTTTGCTAAACCATCTCAAATATGTGAACAGGTAGCACTGCTGGTTGGCATGAGAACCCCAGTATTATTAATGGCAGAGCATGCTGTTGGAAACTTGGGGTTGCTCAGATCCCCCATAAAAACAAGAGTTCAACCGTTTCAGTGAGGTTTAGGCTGTGGCTGCTCTTGAAGAATAGTTACTAGATAAAAATAGTTATGGATATTTTTAATCTGGCTTTTCTGACACAATTCTGTGCCTCAGCCATCAGGGTATGTTAAGGAGCCATTCTCTCTGGGGTTTAATCTTTCAGAAGACAGGCAAAGAGAAGGAATCTTAAACTCCAGGACTATCAAGGACCAGCGACTCCTTGGGAACTTACATCATCCCAAATGTGTTTCGTTTCTTATCTTCAAACAAGATAAAAACAGTTCCTTCTTTTAGCTGTTGAGAGAGATAAGATGTTAAGCTTTTTTTTTTTTCTCTGTGTCTGGAAATGCTAAACATACAATTTCCCAAGATCACATGCTAAGGCGGGTTACATGAGAGGATGTGATTTAAGAAAAAATAATAATTTAAGAGCAAGCCAATTAAGATGTTCACTTCCAAGCCGATATAAAAAGTTAGTGGTCAAGTATTCAGCAACAGAAAGTGTCTGTAAACAGAATATATTTGTAATTCCTTCCTCCTCTCCCCATCTCCCTCCATGTCCTAATCACCTGAAATCAGGATTTCAGTATCTGAACTCTATTAATAAATGCACACAATCACAGATTTCATTGAAATCGATCACAGGGGCAAAAACATGGAGTTTCTTTCCCCAAATCAGTTAACGTGTGTGGTTCACGCATTTTAGAGGTTTATTACCCTCTATTTCTTCCCCAACCTATTTTCCTATTGTTATTTCACTGAAATTAAAGCAGGCATCCTTCTTACCCGCACATCGTAGCCGATCCCGTGAGCCTTGCACATCTGGAGGAAGACATTATAGTAAATTAAGGAAAGGTTGTCGTTCTTAATCGAACTGCTCATGAGAACGTAGCGGCTGACCAGGGAAGTCTGGCAAAGGAAAAAGGAGAAAGAGTTAAGGCTGAGGAATCCCTGAGAGATTCCAGCTTCGAGACTGGAGTGCAGATTTATACAAGAGTAGCTAAATCTTAAGCCTCCTGGCATATTTCTTCTTCGCCTTCTTCAAAGAAACAAATCTCAGTCTTTGCAACGACTCCCTTGAACACCAATAAAGGAGGAGGATTAGCGCTGTAACTCAAGGAGGCATCTCCATTCCTTAAGTCCTGTTCACACATCTACCGTCGGACTGCATGGTCTTGATGGAGAGAGCAGCCCTGTGCAGTTTTCCCAACCTGGCGCCCTCCAGACCAGCTCAGTTTCTGTTCCTGCTGGAAGATTAAGGATTGTAGGAGTGGGAGATAGACATCCAAAGGGCACACAATTTGGGAAGGCTCTCTTACAAGGAGCCCTCAGTAGTTAGTGAAGGAGCCACCCAGAGTTGCTCTCAATAGTGAGATAGGAGGCATATAAATTTAATCAATAGTTCAATCAATTAATTAATCAGGATGCAGAAGATACAAAGCAGTTACTAAACCCAACAGGGCTCGTATCTTGAGTGGCAAACTGAAATTCCAAAATGAGTAGCAGCATAATATAAAACAGATATTAAACCTCTCAACGTTTCATTCTATAAATCTGAAGTCAATATACAGTAAATACCCAGAGAAGCGTTTATGTCGTTCATCACTTCGCACCGAGGCTGAGATCTACTCAGTGTGAAAGCTACAAAGATCTAGATTCCTGCTTGGAGAGATTCTGAACCCACTTCAGACATTTCAAAGGCCTCTCGCATCCCCCCACCCCCCAATCACTCTGCAAGGAAATTTAGGCTAATTGGTGGGAATCCAAATCTTTTCACACCACACTGAACATCAGTCCAAAATGATAATAAATCCAAAGTTGCTTCGTGGTTTGATGCGGTAATGGAAATAGGATCCAGAATAAACACGAAAGGACTGTAGTATATAAATCAAGGGTGAGAAGATTTCAGACATGATCCCCCTCACACCGAATCCTGGGATTTACCAACCGGTACAAAAACCACAGAATTAAAGTACTGAATTCCAGGTCTCAGGATTCTTTTTTTTAAAAAGCAAATTACAGATATCCTTGATTTACGATCATTTGTTCAGCAACCATTTTTTAAAAAATATTCACAGAAAACAAACATTTAGTTTGGAGAAGTGCCTAACTCACCTCCCCAGAAAAAAATAGCAGGGTCAGCAAGATGGTAGAAATGCTTTAGGAAGGCTAGCAAGATCGGCCTTCTCCAGGCTGCCTTCTAAAAGGAATTGTAGCAGTCCCACAACCACACGTGAATGGTTTTGTGAGAGCATCGATACTTCTCCAGCAGAATTTGCCATGGTTGACTTGCCCAGACCAACTAATCCTGGCCGACTCACCATGGGAAATTCAACACCTGATAAGTCAAAAGAGGGAGAAGCAGAATTGCAGCTCATCTCCCCAGTCTCAAGGACTTCTCACTTGAGAAGGTTCAAAACTCAAAGCAAGACAAGATGTCCTTCTCTTGAGTGATCCCATGTTGGATTGCGGCAAGTTGTCCTGTGGTGAGTTGACTGGGATGAGTTGGCTTCAGTGAGTTATCCTAAACCCCTTCGCCAGCCCAAAACTGCTGAGAATTTGTTTGAGAATGTAGTAGCTCTCATACATTTTTCTTGTGTCTCACATACACACCAAAATGTTAAAATTGATCTTAAGGTTTCAGTCATACACGTGCTTTTTCACCATGACCACTTTTACTTTTTCCTCCTCCTCTGTTCTTAAAAAAATGTCCTCGGGCATTTTTCAGGGCCTAACAGTAACCCTGAGTAGGACAATGGTGGACACGGCCAGATTTTGTTATTTTTCCTCTCCCAAGTATGGGAGGTTTTTAGAATAAATTCATAAATAACTCGCTGTGGCATATCTATTTTGGCCTGCAGCACAATTTTTATTCCCATCACAAAATGGCAGGAAATTCTTGTGCCAACCTTTGGAGTTTTACTGCTGATCCAGAGGGGACCCCGAGGGCCATAAGAAAGGCACGGGGGGGAGGGCACTGGCTGCCCACTGTTGTGCCATCGACTGGCTATCACAATGTCAAGAAGGCTAATAATACAATGTTTGCAAAACTGTGCTAAGCAAAATAGTGTCTGGTTGTTGGCAGAAATCGGGGGCGGGGAGGGAGAGCTGAGGGGTTGCAGCCATGCTAGCTGATGGCTGCCAAGTAATTTTGGTGATCATCCAGTAAAGACCTGAATTTCAATGGGCGCATGCAGGGTTCAAAATGTGCCATATGTAGAAAGGCAGTTTGGGAAGCTCCTTAGAACGAGGGTGTCTCGAGCAGCTTTTGTTGATATTCCATATTTCAATGGGATAATTTTATTATTTTATTTTATTTTTGCTATACGGTATTAGAACTGTAAGAGTAAAGGGTTAGAGGGAGGTTTTTAAGCTAGCTCTCCAATTTAATGGAAAGATATTGTGGATACAAAGTCCAGCCTTCGGTCCCCTCATCCCAAATCTCTCATTCTCAAGTGTTATTTGTGGCATGAAACTGCTAACCAGAGTGGCAACCCCTTTCCTTGCACACCATGCTCACCCAGGCACTATTATGAGACAGGCAAGCAGGCACGGGCTGGGGTAGCGTCTGGCTGCCTTCTCTCCGGGGCCAGCCGGCTGAAAGAGAGGCTTCCAGAACAGGTACCCAAAGTTTTGAGAAATTTGTTCCTGGCAAAAGACGGCGGCAAATAAAAGAAACGGATGCTTGATAAAATAATCCAAATCGCAGTTTAACAAGCGTAAACCCGAATGTAGCAGCAATAACACCGAACCATTGTTTAAACGCAGGCATCGGTCTGATGAGGTGCTTATTTCAGCTACAAAGCAGACAAACACATGCATAATGAACTGCGGGATGAATTATTAATGTCTTGCTTATTTAGCCTCATCTGTCTCAAAGATAATGTATCCTAAGTATAATGAGTGATTGGTTTTCTACATAATTACAGTAGCGGCGGTATCTAGGAAATTTGCTCTGGCAAAGGAGATTTCTAAAAATAAAAACCATCACTCGTACTCGGTCGCCGCTCCATTTTATCAAAATCAAAGCGAGCAGCCCAGTGAACACATAATAAATTCACGGGGACAGAAGCATTATTAACATCATAATTTCACATAAAGTGTTTTTACTTAATCATTCATTATAGATCATGCACTGTAAAAAGATTTGTCTCTGTTTGTTTCTTCCGGTTCTTTAAAAGATCTGATGTGCTGGATCTCGTGTTTTACCCTTGAATGGGGAAGAGGAAGAAACGATGTGCTGTGGGCAACGGGCAGGTCAAAAGTGACAAATATGCATTAATCTGCAATTATTTTAATTTAAAGAATGGCTGCGTGGTTTACTTTTCATTTTTAAGACCTGGAACTGGAGTTGAATCAGAACTCCCTTCTGCTCCTCTTACCCCATGTAGTAGCTTGAGGAGAAGAGACCAAAAGGTTATCAATCTTGACATTTCGGGGAATGCACAAAATCTGGCTACAAAGCCATTTTCCCATACAGTGGCTATAGAAAGTCTACACGCCCATGCTAAAATGCCAGGTTTTTGAGATGTAAAAAAATCAGATCAAGATAAATCACTTCAGAATTCTTTCCCCACCTTTAACATAACATATAAACACTGCAATTCAATTGAAAAACAAACTGAAATCTTTCGGGAGGGAAAATAAAAAAAAACTTACAATAACGTGGTTGCAGGAAGTTGCAGATATCAAATGCCAGGGAAAACAGGAGATTCAGGCAGTTCAAATGGGTATAAAGATTTATTGCAAGCTTAAACTCTCTACAAGAATCTGAACTACTAACAGCCAAGGGAAATTTGTGGGAGTTAAAAATAGAAAGGAATTCAAGGTCGGCTGCATTTTGATTCCTTGTGGGCACGCAGGGACTCATGACTGATGTCGCATTTGACTCCTCCCTGAGGCTCAGGTTGGTCATCTTCTACAGTACACTCTTAAAGTAATACTTTGTTGAAGGACCTTTTAATTTTATGACATCTTTCAGTCTTAGGGTAGGAGGAGTGGTGTGGTGGCCTAGAGGTGGAGCTCTTGCCTCACAATCAGGAGGCTGTGAGTTCAATCCTAGGTAGAGGCAGATATTTCTCTCTCTGGACACAATGCATCCGCTGAACAAAACTCCGCATTGGTGACAGGAAGGGCATCTGGCCAGTAAAACACTCTGCTAGCTCCATTCAGTTGCCCAGACTCCACCCCACAAGGGATTATGGAGTCATTAAAAGGTGAATGATGATTCAGTCTTGGGGTAGGAGCCTGTCAGCATGGCACACCTTGCCTTGGGAGCCTTTGCCCACTCTTCCTTGCAAATGTCAGATTGCGTCTCCTGTTCACAGCCCTCTTCAGGTCACCCCACAGATTTTCAACCGGATTCAGGTTCAGACGCTGGCTGGGCCATTCCAAAACTTCGAGCATCTTCTGATGAAGCCATTCTTTTGTGGATTTGGAGGCATACCTTGGGCCATTGTCGTCATAGTAAAAGGTCAGTTGGAATGTGATTGGCTAATTCTGAACACAGCCACATTCCTACTTATAAATGTGAAGACTTATGCAGCCATAATTTTTATTTTCCACTTAAAAGATTTCAGTTTGTTTTTCAATTGAATTGTACAGCTTGTACATTATATTAAAGGTGGGAAAAATATTGAAGTGGTCTGAGTTTTTTACATCTCAAATCCTGGCGTTTTAACAGGGATGTGTAAAGTTTCTATATCCACTGTATCTGGTAACCTACAAATATGCTGACTACAAATCCCAGAATTCCCAGGAAGATGGGTTTCCATTGATTATGCCACCTGGGAATTTTGAGAGCCAAAATAGTCAAAAAATATGGAGCTTGGGGAGAATTAGTTACAATGATATATTCAATTTTTATTACAATTAATAAAATTTATTTATTGGTTCGATTTATATGCCGCCCTTTTCCAGAGTCTCGGGGCAGCTTACAATGCATTAAGCAATAGCCTTCATACTTTTGTATATACCTGCTTAGTAGGGCTTTCAGCCCCCCCAAGCGGTGTTCTTTTTTATACAAAGTCAGTTTATTGCCCCCACAATCCGGGTCCTCATTTTACCTACCTCGAAAGGATGGAAGGCTGAGTCAACTTTGAGCCTGGTGAGATTTGAACTTGCAGTAATTGCAGGCAGCTGATGCTACTTAACAGCACTTTAGTCTGCTGCGCCACCAAGGCTCTTGGCTCTTGTAAATTAATAAAAGTAATTATCATAATAAAATTAACAAAGGAGTTAGTTACAATGACATATAGAAATATGGAGCTTGGGCTGAGCGTAGTTACAATGACATAGAAAGGGATTTTATGTCATTGTAGCTACACATCAACATGGAAGATTGTTTGCAAAGAATAGTAGCTGTATTTCAGAGATTTCCAACTTAATTATTCTGAAGGGTAATGAAAGTTGAGTATGTGGAAAGTGATGTTTACCAGTGTCATTGTTCAACTTCCTGACTTATGGAAGAAAACTAAGTCCCCTTGCGATTAGTCCTTCGTTCATGAAGGATATGCTAAAAGAAGGCTTAAATTTAAAGAAAATGCTGGTAAATAGAGAACCAAATATTCCATAATAACTGAGTTGGAAGGGACCTTGGAGGTCTTCTAGTCCAAGCAGGAAACTTATTCCATTTCAGACAAATGGTTGTCCAATCTCTTCTTAAAAATTTCCAGTGATGGAGCACCTACAACATGAAGGCGTTCCAGTGGTCAATTGTTCTCCTTGTCAGGTAATGTCTCCTTAGTTCTAGGTTGCTTCTCTCCTTGATTAGTTTCCACCCGTTGTTTCTTGTCCTGCCTTCAGGTGCTTTGAAGAATAGCTTGACCCCCTCGTCTTTGTGGCAGCCCCTCAAATTTTGAAAGACTGAATGATCAAAGAAAGAGGATGATCCAAGCTTTGGAATGGCCCAGCCAGAGTCTCAATCTATCATATCATCCCAGTCTTTCTTTACATTCCTTCTATAGATACTGACAAATGCTGGAGAAGGTCAGGAAACCTTCTTGTTAGCCACAGTTTTCTTGTGAAAGTGATAAATCAATATTGTAAGACAATGAGTTTGGCTTTAAAAAGCTGTGCAGGTCCTCATCAGTGGTGGGTTATCCCCGGTTTGGACCGGTTCGCAAGAACCGGTAGTAAAACTGGCAGGAGGCTTCACCCACTGACCCGGACATTGTCACGCTCACACAGTCCCATTGCAAACCAGTAGTAAAGGTAAGTAGAACTCATCCTCATCCATGGCAAGACTTTTATGGGATCAGCCCAAGACAGTTGGCTGCCTAAGAATAAAACCAGCAAAGGCCGTCCCTTCTGCTAAGAACCAGAAGCAACAATCCATCAAGAAATTATCTTAGGCCAGTTATGTTAAATCCAACACAAAACACCAGGCACAGGGAAACGACAGGCAATTTCCAAATGTGATGACAACCCATGGATTAGTACATTAAAACTTCATAATGGGTGGAAAACTGATGGGGTCCACACTGTTGTGTCCCCAGTGCAATGGGGTGATGGTGCAGGAGGACATCAAACAATGGGGAACCAACACCGTTTAGGCCAGGGGGTCTCCAACCTTGACAACTTTAAGCCTGGCGGACTTCAATTGAAGTCCGCCAGGCTTAAAGTTGCCAAGGTTGGAGACTCCTGGTTTAGGCCATAAACTGCTTATTTGTTTCTTCATTCGAGCATCACTTACAGATCGGGTCTGTTCCTTCTGCACAGGTGGCTTCTTTGAAGGGAGATGTACCTGGAAGCGACTTGACGCGCAGTCGAAGGTCCCCTCTGTCACGTAGAGCGCGACCCGAGTCATGGCCAAATGATCGCTGTAGCGCAGATCTAAGTCCGTGGCCCAAACCTTGGGAGAGTAAGAGATCGGTCAAGCACAGCTTCTCTTTGAGGCTTAAAAATAAACCTGTCAGCATGAAGGTGAGGTAGCTGTCAACCCTGAAGTTGGCCGAACTGTGGCCATTTTCCTTCTGTGTAGTTCTCTCGGGAGATTTCTCTCTTCGTTGCTTCAGGGCTGACACAGCCTGGAGCGAAGGGGTCAGGGAGGGAGGAAGGTGTAGAGATAGCTGGAGTGTTGTAGCCTAAATAAATGTTCTGCCCCAGCTACGGACCCCAAAGAACGCAGCACACACAAAGTCTGTACAAACCTTAGTTTACTAAATTAAATCAGTCTTTTTCAAATAAAGGTTGTTAATTAACTTTCTTAACAGCCTACAAAAATCCAAAGAATAAATAATCGTAATCTTACTATCATTGGCAGAAAACCCAGAAGCAATTTGCAGGAAACTGATGAGAACTAAGATCAGGACACGAAGGAGTGAACGAAGTTGTTCCCTGCAAATTGCTTCAGTTGTCATCCTTCCTTAAATAGGCTAAGGGAGTGGCCAATTAGCCCCAAGCCTTGCTCTTGAGGAGACCTCCTCCTGAGGAGCCACTCCTGCCTTTTGGCAGCTCTGCGCGCCCGTGCATTGAGAAGAGGCTCCTCCTCTTCTTCCTCTTCACTTATGGGAGCTTCTGGAGGTTCTGAAGGCCCTGGCTGAATCCCTGCCTCTGGCACCACATCTTCTCTTCTCCAGCCTCCTCATTGTCTGACTCAAGTGGCAGCTGCACAGGCTGCTGGCACAGCACCACACCAGCCTCCTTGCTGTAGGAATCAGTTACTAGCTGCACAGGCCGCTGACAGGCCACAACAATAAAATCCTTTCGCCTGGGAATCAAGGACGTTGGTGCAGGTGTTGAAAAGGTGGAGACTGAGGTCACCTAGCAACTGGGCTGTATGCTGATTGGACTATGGGACTAGAGACTCTGGAGGGAAGTGATGAAGTTTTACTTTTAATTGGATGTTAAACCAATGGGAACTTAGAGAGCCAGTTTTCCACCAAGTCTGTGCCAATTTGATATCTCCCAATAAAATGTTCTTTGAGGACTTTGCCTGCCTCGGAGTTCTTATTAAGTGGGATGTGTTACTTGGAACCCTGACAGTAGCCTTACTTTATCTCTGAAGAGCACAAGAGGCACCATCAGTGGACTTACTGTCTGAAACGGCTCAGACAATTTGTGAACCTATCTTACATTTTGTATTTGCCTACAATCTCAAATACAGAAATGCCTCCTCTCTGGTGAATAGAACTGCCTTCTTTTTATAATACCTGAAACGTCAAAAAAAAGAAGTCAATGAAAAAGCAACAAAATGGAGGTCACAGCAGGGCACCATTATATTGTGGTCGACTTACGACCACAATTGAGCCCCAAATGGATGTTGCTAAGCGAGACAGCTGTGAAGTGAGTTGTGCCCTTTTGCGATCTTTCTTGCCGCAGTTCTTAAGTGAATCTGGACACTTGTTAAATTAGTAACATGGTTGTTAAGTGAAAATGGCTTCCCCATTGACTTCGCTTGTCACAGATGATCACATGATCACAAAGATGATCACATGACCCCGGGACACTGCAAACGTCATAAATATGAACCAGTTGCCAAGCATCCACATTTTGATCACATGACCATGGGGATGCCTCAATGGTCATATGAAAAATGATTATAAGTCACTTTTTTCAGTGTTGTTGTAAGTTCAAACAGTCACTAAATGAATAGTTGTAAGCAGTGGTGGGATTCAAATAACTTAACAACCGGTTCTGTCTCCTAATGACCAGCTGGGTAGGCGTGGCTTGGTGGTCATGTGACCATGTGGGCATGGCCAACTCAACGTCAATCACATCGATGGGCACTTTGCCTTAGCTGTTACAATGTAATAAGGGTTAACCAGAGAGGCAGTTTCTGTAAGCAGGGCAATAAAGGTTAGGCTAGAAACAACACCAGAATGTTTCCTTCCTGCCTTCCTTACAGGATTAGCCCTGCAAAGTGGAAAAAAACATAGTAAGATTTCTTCCAACAACCGGTTCCCCGAACTGCTTAGAATAGGTGCAAACTGGCTGAATCCCACCACTGGTTGTAAGTCAAAGACTACCTGTATCATCCCTTGCAGGTACCTTGGGGTAGGAATATCATCAGATGCACATTGCCCATAATGAAACATGACTTCTTGGGGGTCTGGGGATATAGGAAAGGTATGTCAGTGCTTCGGAGGGTTGCAGTTTGGACGACACTAACCTTGTAGTAATGCTGTAGCAGTAGCACTACTACTACTACTGCTACTACTACTGCTACTCAGTACTACTACTACTACTGCTCAGCAGGTGTGAGACTCCTGTCCCAGAAGCACAAGCAAGAGCCAACGAAGGAGTTTGCTGGACGTGCAGAAGGTATGTTCACCAATGCCCACAAGGCATCCCTGGGGTGGGAGATGTGCAGTGCAGTGAAGTGGGAGATAAGCAGAAACTACTAGGTACAAAGATAGTTTCCCCCACCGCCATACTCTGCTGAACACTTGCTGTCTCACTTCTCATCTTTTCTCATCCTCTCGTCTTTCCTACTATCTTCTCCTATTGGTTTTTATGATTTATCAATCGTTGTTTATTATGATCTATGACCTATTATTTGCTATTTATATGTAGAGCATGAGCTTATGCACCGGAGAGAAATGCCTTGGGTGCCCAATCACCCTTGATCAAAAAAAGAATTCTATGATTCTAGGGCTGACATCTGCAAGTTTCAGATGGTTTGGGGGGTGAATACCTGAAGTGAAACTTGGAAGAAGATTATCAGTGTGCCCAAAGAGGTAAACACTAGTGTTGTAAACCAACAACAGTGCAAATGCTCAAGAAGGTGCCTATTTATGACTGCATCCATGGCCACCTTCATATTTTTTAATGTAACCATGACACGCTGTATATCAAACGACTGCAGCAAGTCATCTTCAGTTTCAGTTGTTCTATCTAAAACATATTTATAGTCACATATTTGAAAGCTGGCTCATCCCAGAGAGAGCTTAGGAAACAAGCCATATATCAATTCTACAATTGTATAGGATTAGAAGCGGGCATAAAATAGACCAGGATCTTCAGGGGAACCACTCGGTGCTCTGCAATAAATCACATCATCTGTCTCAATTGAAACAAAATGACTCCACTACCCTATTCTAGTAGGGCTGGCAGAAGAAGAAGAAGAAGAAGAAGAAGAAGAAGAAGAAGAAGAAGAAGAAGAAGAAGAAGAAGAAGAAGAAGAAGAAGAAGAAGAAGAAGAAGAAGAAGAAGAAGAAGAAGAAGAAGAAGAAGAAGAAGAAGAAGAGGAGGAGGAGGAGGAGGAGGAGGAGGAGGAGGAGGAGGACGAGGACGAGGGGGGGAGAAAGCTTTGAAAGTTAACTTTTTGTATTAAAGAACTATGAGGTTGTATAACAAAGATGCCTGGGCTACACCTGCAGGGACCCTGTTCCTTCTGTCTACGGCAGTGTTACTCAACCATGGATACTTGTGTGGACTTGAACTCCCAGAATTCCACAGTCAGCCTTACTGATTGGGGAAGTCTGGAAGTTGAAGTCCACACATCTTCAAGTTGCCAAGGTGGAGAAACATTATTTTAAGGGAACATCTGCCCATCCTTTCTGAAGATCTTCCCACAGCCTGGAAATACACAAATTGTGGTCATGTCAAAGATGGACCAATTCTATGTTTCCAAACAAAAGTGCCCCAACAGATGGTAACTGAAACAATATTCTTAATAGTACCTGGGATTTAGAACATGCTTGAATGTTGCAGACCAACTGAAAATGTAAGAATGCAATGGTAGCGTTGGTATGGTTCAGTTAGCCATAGCCATTTATTCATGGTTTATATAAGCTTATATAAAATTCTTCTAAGCTTACATGACACACGGAATGATAAATTAAGAACACTGCCTGTGTTTACATGGCATCCAAGCTAGCAAGTAGGTGGCTATGGTTTGGGGTGCCACTGAACAGAGATAGAGAAGATTAAAATCAGGGGTGAAATCCAGCAGGTTCTGACAGGTTTTGGAGAACCAGTAGCGGAAATTTTGAGCAGTTCAGAGAACCGGGAAATACCACCTCTGGCTGGCCCCAGAGTGGGGTGGGAATGGAGATTTTGCAATATCCTTCCCCCAGGAGTCGGGAGAGAATGGGGATTTTGCAGTATCCTTCCCCTGGAGTGGGGAGGGAATGGAGATTTTGCAGTATTCTTCCCCTACCAAGCCCACTAAGCCACACCCACCAAGCCACACCACGCCCACCAAGCCACGCCCACAGAACCGGTAGTAAAAAAATTTGGATTTCACCACTGATTAAAACATGCTTCAAGATGAAACAGCCAATACAGTAAAAGCGGCCAATATTTGGAAATTGAGATAAAATTCAATAGGGAAACTGGAGAGGAGGAGGAGGGGAGGAAATGAAGGAAGAGGGGCAGGAAGAGGAGGAGGAGGTCAACCTATTCAAAACAAAACAAAAGAAACAAAACCAGTTCATCAGTTCCATTCCCCCCCCCCCATCCCCACCATCAGAATTGATGAAGCTTCTTGGATGAGAAGCGAAATATTTTCTTCTTCTTCCTCAAAGGGAAAACAGTCCAGTTGCCTTTTGAAGAAAAAAAGCACCTTTGAGTAGCTATGGGACAGCTGCCTTTTTACTTCTGGAGAACTGAGCTTTGGCCACACACCTGGGCACAGGTTGCTCACTCCCAGGAGGGTCTCCTCCATGAATAGCGGCCCTTTAGAAGCAAATCTCCCCCAGAATGACTTGGACGAGCCACCGAATGGTAAATGGCATCATTATAAGGCTATTAAGGGGTCAGACAGTCAAGGCCTCTTGCTAAACTGGAGCTAATTTCTGAATCATATTACACAATAATGCCCCCTTTTATAACAGCAAATAAATCATGTCAGAAACGGTTAATAATGAACCGTCAAGTATCAGTTTTACTGTTAAATATCCTATTTGT